CATGTTCTATGACTTATGCAAACAGTTGAAATTAAAAGCTTTGTTTTTGGCAATGACCTAGTTTGTGTAAACTATAGGTTTATGTTTCATAGCACAACTTAGAAAATGTGGCTGCGTACACAGTTCTGATTTACAAAACAACTTGACTTAACACTCTTACCCCCATAATTAGATTCAGCAGAAATTGGACCATGCTATCAATAGAGAACATTTGATATTTCTAATTATTTGACATAGCATTTTTCTAAGCACTTCACAAGACAGCATGTAGCAAATGTCAAAGGCATATCTATGAAGTAATAATTTTTTTCTACATATTTTCTTGATAGACGTTTAGACAATGTGTGACAGTATTGGACATCATGAGTAACAGGTGGATATTATGTCCCTGATTTGACCCATATGTGCAAAATTCATAAGTTAGAATATGAATACCCATAAATATACACAGTATTTTGTATGCTTAGTCAAAAAGAGGGAATGTAAGTCTAAAAATAAATACTAATTTGAAGAATTCACAGAAAATACCACAATTAAGTTAGGAGCGTGGGTTGTTCCTGTAAGTTATACTTCTAAGTTACATAATGCCAGGATGATTGATTGAAGAGATTCAGTCTCCTTTTGGTTTAGTTCTTCTGTGTGGCCATGTTCCATTTGCACCTTCTGTTACCACTTTCCCAGCTTCCATGAATAAAATCACTCCTTGAGGATGAGATGGTTTTCAGGAAGTTAAGCCATTTAGTTTCAGAGGTGCTTGCTTACTGTGGTAGCAGGCTTTGTGTTGATATTTATTTTGACTAGTGTTCCAGGCACAGATGCAATGTTTGCTAGACACCTGCCAGGATACCATAGTGAGACAGAATAGAATGTAAAGTTTACAGTTTGAAGCATTCCTGTACTAGTTTCTAACCTGCATTGTAAATCATTGCATTATCATTTGGCTGGCATCTCCCTACAGAAATTTTTAGCACGTGAAGTTTAGTTCTGTAAGAGCATCTACTTTTGCTGAAGATCTCTAATATTCAGCTTGCTTAGAAAGCAGAAAACATTTCCACAATTCTTTTCCCATTTACTCACTTAACTGGTATTTGGCCCTACTGAGTGCGTGCTCTTCAGATGGGTAGGTAAAACAGGAAATGAGATAGAGGCTCCCCCAGGGCTGTAGCAAGAGCATTCAGAGTGCTGAGGGTACAGAGGGAGCCTGGAGACAGTCTTTCCACTCTATCTGGTGTTTGGGCTGGTGTCCAAGGAGAAGTGGAGGTTACTTTGCTCCTGAGGACTGCAAGGTCAGTGTGAGGCAGAGGCAATTGCAAAAGCAGACATGGGACCTTGGGAGATGTGCATGGTGACCTTTGCAAGGACTTCCATCATTGTTCAACTATGGGAAGGAGCTGACAGCAAATGGATAGAAGAACTAGGTTAAAGAGTAAGAGTGCCTTGCGTGACCTCTGCAGCCATTTAAACTTTATTCTTTAGGAGGGAAGAGGCAGTAAGAGTTGGGGAATGGCATAGGAACAGCTGTGTGCTGATGCATGCTTGATCCTGTATTGTGGAATAGGAGTCTATGAATGGAGAGATATCTTATAAAGATGATTGCTACATCCTGACAAGAGAGGATGGGGGCTTGAACTAGCCTGAAGCAGCAGGAAATGGGGAGGGATTTGCCAGATGCCTCTCAGGAACCATGTAAGAGATCCAAAACTAATTAAATGTCCAGCAAGGAAGAGGGAGAGGTTCAGGCTGTCTGCCAAGTTGCCAGTCGATGTGATTGAAGGGTTCATTATTCCATTCACTAAGCTTGTAAACACCATGAGGGGGACAAAAGAACAGAGCTGAGATCAGTTTTAGACACGCTAAGATTGAGCATGGCCATCCAGTGGCTCTCTGCGCTGTGTACTTGGTAGACCTCCACAGTCTAGATTCTTACATTGAGAAAGATTAAGAGACACTCTTTGGTCAAAAGTTATTTTTTAATGATAATTTAAAAGTGGAAAAACAAACCCAAGAAAGATTAAAAGTCATTGGCTGAAAAGGTACAGAAATGGCATTCTAGTTCAAGTATAGAGTTCAATGGCTTCCCATTGTCATCATGAACAAGGACGTACACCATCAGGTGGCTTCCAAGGCCATTATCTGACCTTTGTCTGCTTGTGCACTCCCACCAGGAGCAATTTCCCTCTCCTGAACATATCATGCTGCCTTCCACTCTGGAACCTTTGCTCTTCTTTTTGACTGGAAAGTTCTTTTTGTCCCTTTCCTTCCTAATTAACTTGACATTGCTCTTCAGATTCCAGCTTCCTTAGAGAAGTCCCCTTGACCCTGTGGATTGGGTCAGACAGCCCAAAAGGAGTTGTTAAAGCATCTTGTACTATTTCTTTCCTGCATGCATGTTCACACCTCTGACGAGTTGGTAATGTGTGTCCTCTTCCTTCCGTTAATTGCATCATGGAGATAGTGTCAGTTTCTTCTCATTAGAGTGTCTCCAGCACACAGCACGTACCTGGCCAAGGCCAATGTATATTCTTTGAATGGAATAATGACTTCAAAGCCAAGGCTTTATTTATCCTGCCATTTAATAAATGTTCAAAAGAAATGAATTTCTTTTTTCTCATTGTTTTTCTATCTCTCTCAAGTAGAAGAACTGTCTCTAGTGACAACTGTTAATACATTTCACACAATGAAGACTCAGGACTGTAATGTTGAAAATGGATTAAGAAACACAAGGATGAGTTGGACAGGCATGAAGAAGGAGCAGATATGATCAAAATGCGTTATACTGGTGCAGGAAATTCTCAAAATGATTAAAAAGAAAACAAAAAGACATTTAAGGATGGAGATCTGAAGATTGTTTCATACTTTGTAGAGCAGCAAAGGGGTTCTTTATAGCTGCAAAATAATTTGAAATAGTGAAATACCCTATCATTTTGACATTTCCAAGGTAAAGACCCACATATAGTCAAGTAGATGTGAGATTAAAGATGTAGAATAGAGTTTTGTAAACAAACGATGAGATGGTGAGTTCACTCACCGGTTTCCCAGCAGAGAGCCATTCTTCAAGACGGGGAGGACATGAGCTCACTTTGGAGGCTCTATCTAGAGAGCCCATTTCGAGGTCAGTGTCTGCATCAGCTCAGACTCATTACTATCTCAGATGACCATCCCCTCAGCATTAACTCTGAAAGAATGGATGTTCATCAAAATGCCAGAATTGTTAGAAATCAGGTTACATCAGATTTCTTGAGTGTCATACTATGTTTAAGAGAAACAATGACACATTTTGAAAAGATTTCAGATAAAATAGGAAAATCTTCAGAACCCAAGAACCAACTTTCCCTTTTTTAAGCAAAGGTTTCCAGGCAGGGTCACTACCAACATGCTTTAGGTAGTTCTTTTTCCTTGCATTTTTGAGTTATGAGATTTTAAAACACATATCAACTTGAAAGGACTCTAATGAATCCCAGTGTCTGTAGTTGCCAGCACACTCTGCTCTACTTTCAGCTAACCTTCCCTGCAGGACTTGGTTACTTATTACTGCCTCTCAGTCATAGTTAAATTTCAGCCACAAGTCACAATGGATATATAGAAAGAAAGAGACTTTAAAAGTAAATTGAATTTGTATTCATACCTAAAAGAATAATCAAGTTCTTAGTATTTTTAAACACCCAATCAATGTTTCTCCAGTTTTCCGCGAATTTCTTTGCAATTGATTTGTTTGAATCAGAGTTCAGAGCAGGTCAACCATACCACATTGGGCAATTTCTTGAACGCCTTTTAATCTTTAACAGATTTTCCTTTCTTTTTTAAAAATTCATATTTCAATGTCTACTTTTTTAAATTGAAGAAACAATCTTGTTTGTCTTGTGAAATAATCTCATGTTCTTGAGTTTATTTACTGTGTCCCAGAAGTGGTGGTTAGAGCTAGACCTTGTGGTTTGTTCTCATTAACCAATACAGTTGGATATTTAATTGGGTTGAAGCTCGATTTTTTGGTAAAAATGTACATATTTCTGGGTACTGCTCATTGCTCAGATCATGAGACCTACAGTGTCTGATTGTATATTTTATTGAACTAGATGTGTCAGTTGGGTCTTGTGTGCTCAGTCTGATCTTTCCCTTCTCTATAGCTCCCTCAGCGTTTCATGGCTGCAGTGGTCCTCAGCCCAGCCAATGAACTGGAACAACCATCAAACTGTCACACCGATGCCGCTTTGTCCCTACCCCGAGGGCTGGTCTACTGTGGGCTCAGGAAATGTTTGAGTCCTAGGTGACTCTAATGTACAAACAAGACTGAGAATCTCTGATCTGCTAATTTTGTCTGCCGTTGAAGAATTTCCTGTATAGTACCAACATTTCAGGAGAAGTTGTTAAAATGGTGTTACTGCAGTATAATGGCTGCATGTATGACTAGAAATTCTGCTATTAAAAATCTCACCAGTCTTTGGCTCTGTCTTTACTTTGTATAGGAAAAATAGAATAAAAATAAATAGGAGGTTCATGTCATTTTCTGAATAGTGATTTGTGTGTCCATCATGCTATAATGATCATCCTTGAGGTTGGAACATATTGATGTTACATTTATTGTTATTACTATCATTCTGATACTTTGTTTGGATTTTAGTCAATAGAAGCTTTTATGGTAGCTCCTGTAACCCTTCTGACAATATTTAATTGTTCAGAACCATATTTAATTGCTTCATTGTGTTTAAGGATGACGCTTTTAAGTTCATCTTGTAGATTTAAAAGTTGAGTTGTTCCTAGGTACTTTCTTCACTGAACTTGACACCACCCACTTAAGAGTTCACTGGTCTGTACCTTATTTGCAGATATTCTATTTAATGGGTTAACCAGATTTTTATGGTACCAGTAAAATTCAGTAGAAAGCCAAAGGTTATTAGGAAAACCATGAAAATTATATAACAAATTTTCCATTTAAGGTTGTTAGTCTTCAAGTGAATGCTGCATAAATCTCTGGTAACCAGTTTGTTATTTCTTCTCTTTAGTTAATGTCCATCGGTGTCTTGGCTGTTTCTGCTTGGATGAGGGACTACCTGAATAATGTTTTGACTTTAACCGCAGAAACAAGGTAGGTGTATTGAATTCTTTCACTTGCTCTCCCCAGATCCCAGTTTTTAAACATCTTTTCTCTGACCTGTTCATTGAGCTGTTCTCTTCCACAATCTTGTAGAATACATTTTTTTCCTGCACCAGCAACTTATTTGCTGAAATTAACATTTATTTCTCACATTTTCATTAAGGAAAACTACTAGTCCTGCAGGACGTCAGATAATAGTACATTTACATGGACAGTTCTGTGGTTAGTAACATACCAGTTGTCTGGCTTGTCCTTGTCTATGAGTGGAGACTGTAATATATACCACTCTTAAATCATGGTAAGGATCAAGTGAGAAGAAAGCTTTTTGAAAAGTCTTTAATGCAACAAAACTTTTAAGCATTGAATAATTGGCTAAGTTCAATTATCATCACCATCACAGACTCTGGTTAATCCTAGCAAAAAGTTCCCTCTTTACCTTCTCCTGTTCTCCAATTTTTCCATGTATTCGTGTTTCCCTCACATTAGAAAATGATTAGTTATCAGAGAGAAGAAAAGTTCTGTAGAGACTCCAAGATCAGAGAAAAGGACAATTCCTCTGGTTGCAACCTCATGTGGGTTCCTTAGGCTGGTGCTTTGGAGCCTATAATTAAAAGGGGTTGGGGTAGAAATGCTAACACCTACATAAAAACTAAAACAAAGATAAAATAAGCAAGCAAATAGACACAAAGTGACAAGTCACCAGCTTTTAAAGGAAGATAATTGGCAGAACCATAGCTCACAGTGGCATTTGCTCAGTCTCTGGGTCTGGGAAGCATTTTGATCTTTGGATAATGCTATTTATCATATGATATGATCTTCCTCTTTTAGGGTAGAAGAGGCAGTCATATTGACTTACTTCCCCGTGGTTCACCCAGTCATGATTGCTGTTTGCTGTTTCCTTATCATCGTGGGAATGTTGGGATATTGTGGAACCGTGAAAAGAAATCTGTTGCTTCTTGCATGGGTACAGTTTATACCTTCTATTTATTACACTTAAAACATCATGTGATAGTGCATTGTTATGAGTCCATAACTGTATTAGCAAGACTAAGAGGTAGTCATAACAGCATCCTGTCAGATGGGACCTTTCTCTCAATAAGAGATGACATTGGCACAGATATTAGCTATATTTGCATGATCAGGCAGGGAGATAACACATACTATTTAATTATTTCACTCTGGCTCTGTTTTGACATTATCTTTTGATAATAATTTCTTTTAATGGTATAGATCTTCTTCCCTTCAGGGCCAGAGTTGAGACATCATAATGGACACATCTCTCTTTCAAACAACCCACCTGACTACCCTATTTAGAAATTCAGGTGGTGAGATGAGATGGATGGTATATTGTAATTCCTGTGCTATCTTATATGGTCTTGTGGGCACAAGAATCTTGGTTTCCTTAATCTAATTTTTTTAACTGAAACAGTTGTGCCAAATTACTTCTTAAATTGATTTTACTCCTTCAGCTTCTATAATTAATCTTATAACGATTGCTAAACTTTACAAACTAAAAATGAGAGTCAATTAAAATAGTTTACATGTGCATTTCTAAAAAAAATACTGAAAGTGGCATTCCTGTGCCACCAGGCAGTGGGCCTGCTAACATGTAAACTGTGGCCATGGGAGACTCCAGAAAAATTAATTCATTGACTGTGTTCCTTTCTTTGTAGTAGGTTTCAAAATGAGTAGTTTGCTAGCTAACTGGATCTTTGGGCAGAATGAAGGAACTACTTTTCAGCACTTACAGTATTTCCATAAGGCAAAAACCTCCCAGCACAACTGACTTTAGGTTACTAAGATGACATCACTGAATTCAGGGCTAGGGAGGAGTGAGTACAAATTGGCTCCCCACAGCCAGCTTGCTCAAATCTGTGCTTGCCAGGCTTCCAACCAAGCCAATTCAAACAGAATCTGAGTGTGAATCTGAATTAAGCACTAGATGTCATAACCTTGAATAAATTATTCTGTATGTTCCTTGGAGAGTATCTCCCAGGTTGGAGAATAGAAAACAAAAGCTGCAGAAAGTAAACCATACTCATAGAATGGGAAATGTGCCTTGCGCCCTGCACACTAACACACTTGGGCCATAGAGAATAAAATGGTAGAGGGTTTCAGAGATTATGGTGTTCTCATGGTGTCTTTAAGAAACTCAGGGAAGTTTAAGAATTCATGTGAGTGACTTCATACATGGCTCCTATAATCTGAATACTGGGGAAATGCATTTCAAAGGCAAGAAACCGCAGCAGCCTTCCTAAAAACTACAATGCTACAATGATCTGTCAAGACCAGTTTCTTTCATATTCAGTTTCAATGTGATTGGTATTTTCTGCTTCCTTCCAACTTTTACTCTGGATTGTCCTTGGAAAGTGGTATGAGGTGATGTGGGGTCAGGTATATTATGGGAACCACAAAAACTTTTGAGAACACATTATAAAAACCATTCATGTATTCCATTAGGCCGTCTCAATGCCAGCAAAAGAAGCCGGTAGAGTAATTCAGTCTGCTGTTTGACATATTTGACCCAGATTTGTGAATGAGTGTCTAGTTTGTGATGTAGGAAAAGGCCTTATAATACACAGTGGCATGGAAGACTGAGGTCATATTGGCGTTCACTTATTCATTCACTGATTGTTTAAACTTATTGAGCTTGTATATGCTACATGGATTTTTTTTTTCTTTGCCATCAGAGCAATGCCCGTGATAGATGGATAATTCCACTGTTCTCTGATAAGACCTCTATGAGGATTTACAATGGGTACTCTAAGTTCAGAGAGGAAAAGCTTTAGGACACCCTTAAGGGTCAGCACAGTCTGGGGTTGTAGTGGTGATGTTGAGCCCATCCTCTTGATTGCCCCTTCCTGTCTCCTCTTCCTTTCTTGTTTGCTTGTGTTCTTTTTCAGGTGGTATCTTTGGGATATTGCTTCTCTCTTCAAAGGTGTCACCTACATCCTGTTTCCTCCTCCTGTCAACTGTCTTTGCTAGTCCAATCTCCATTCTCATTATAGCTTCACTACTCAATGCAAGCTTCCAGACCTTGCTCTGTCTAGACCCAAGCACAGCTTCTCCATTGCCAAAAATAAACTGTGCTCTCAACTCCCCATGGCCCATCACTCCCAACTAATATGTATCTGCTGCTTCTCAAGTTGTTCATCCCCCAGGTTCCTCCCCAAGCTCTCTCTGTCATAGCCAGTCCCTATGGGTCCTGGTTCTACAACCACTGGGAACTCAGCCCCCTTTTCCATTCTTATTTGGTTTGCTCTTGTACAAGCTCTCAGGATAGAGTTTCCTGCCTCCACTATTGCCTGTTCTAACCCACTGTAGCTTGGTTAAGCCAATACAACCATGATCATATTACTCCTGTTATGCTCTAAGACTTTGATAGTCTCTCCATTGGGTAGTGAAGGAACTTGCATCTGGAACTTGCATCAAGCCCTTATATAGCTAAGCACTCATCTGCCAGTTTTAACTCCCATACCTACTTCATTATTCTCTAGTTAAGGTGTATTTTCTGATCTCTGGGCAGTTTTTCTTCTCCCTTTCCCTGCCTTTATTCTTGCTGTCTCTTTAAGAATTCTTGTCTTCTCGGGAAGAGTGATGAGGAAAGGGGTCAAATCCAGGCTGGTGAAACCCACAGAAACAGCTGACTGGAACAAGGGGGAACTCTTGGTCCCTAGACTGATAGCTGGGAAACCAGCATGGGACCTATCCAGACCCCATGAATGTGGGTGTCAGTGTGGAAACCTCAGAAATCTATGGGGCCTTTTGTAGTAGATCAGTATTTATCCCTAGCATAGGAATGGACTTTGGGAGCCCATGCCACATAGAGGGATACTCTCTCAGCCTAAATACACGGGGGAGGGCCTAGGCCCTATCCCAAAGGATATGACAGATTCTGGAGACCCTCCTATTGAAGGTCTCATCCTCCCTGGGGAGTAGAAAGGGTATGGGATAGGTAGGGTGTTAGTTGGGGGGGGGTTAAGGGAAGAGGGGAGGGAGAAAGAACTGGGAGTGACATGCAAAATAATCTTGTTTCTAACTTAAATTAAAAAATGGAGAAAAAAAGAATTCTTTTCTTAACCCTTTTGTCTGTCTATTACTATTCCATCAAGGCTTGTCTGAAATATTATCTCCTGAAATAATAGTGACGAGAAAAGTAATAAGTGATATTTCTAAGATGCTTCTTATTCCACACACCTTAGCATTTTACCTGATTATTGTTACATGAAGATTCTTATATCAATTAATCAACTTCATTCTCCCCACAACTCTAGTGAGATAGGTGCTATTATTGTCAGATAATTTAGATGGGGATCTAGAACACAGAGATGTTAAGTGACTTTTCCCAGTCTGCATAGTTCTTAAATAGAGAATCTGCTGAGACCACAGCAATCCACTTTGGATAACTTGTGTTTCGCTGTGTTACTGTATAAACACTGACTTTTCCTAAGTTCTTTGTAGTGTGTATTGTAGAATACAAAACATTTTAGATGTGGTCATTGACTTCAAACATGTCAGCAATGGTCTCTGACAACTAAATGTTAAATGAGGCTTAGAGAGCTTAGTAACCAGCCAAGGTCACTGAAGGGTGAGGACTATGGCTGTGAGTCAGCCCTCGGTGACTCTGATTGCCAAGGCCAATTCTCACTGGGCCTTTTCTCCAACTTGGAATTCCAGTGAGTTGCCCTTGCCATAAATTTCTTGTTATGTAAAATAGGTCAAAACTACCAAACCTTGAGCAACGGTTCACCTTTTCCATTGATTGAATAAATGTTTATTAAGCACAGTTACAGTCATGAAAGGTCACGAAACTAGAATGGTGAGAGAGAGTTACCAGCACATTTGACTGAAGATGGACCCTGGGCTACTGTGAGAGTAGATGGATGAGCTTGGCTGTGGGGAAGGTTTAGATTACAGAGGGAAGGGCTTGGTGAAGGGGGTCAAGTCAGTGCAGAATGTGACATTGTTAGGTCTTCGGTAAATATTTGTGGAGCAATCATCATGGCTTCTTCTTTGATGCCTCTTTGCCTTTTATCCTAATTGGGAAAACTAACTGGAGGTTCATTCCCTTTATGTAAGATAGAAATATTTAGGTATGCCTGATATGTTTCTCTAATTTGTCTGTTTCCCTGTAGTAGAACTTAGTTCAGTTTTAAGATTTATAAGCCAGATTATAAAAAAGGCTATTTTTGTTTTGCATTATTTTTGTTTGTTTGTTTTCAAAACCACTGATATTTCTGAAAGCTGGTGTGGCTCTTGAATAGTTATGAAAATAGGACCTTCAGTGAGACTGGGATGCAATTCAAGTAAACTAAAAGTGTCATTATCCAACAGTTCAGTTTCAAACAATTTCAGGGTCTCCTTCCAAACAAATCATTGTAACCAAGCTGCCCCTGCCATGCTCTACCCCCAAGAAAGACACTAAACCCAACTATCTGTAAACTATCAGGCTACCTATTAAAAACTTTGGATGAAAGATCATTAGCATAGCCCTTGTATTGAATTATTGATTTATAGATGCAAGAGGTTGAAACACCCCTATTTAAGGTGCCCAAATAAGACTCAAATTGTACAATTAAATTTAAGATAAATAATGGACAATACTTTTATGGGAGTATATCATGTGAAAAGTTTAGAAGATACGTGCACCAAAATATTATTTGTTGTTTGTGTGAGGTTTAAGTGACCATTCTGCTGTATTTTTTGTTTTTGTTTTTGTGTTTGTTTGTTTGTTTGTTTGTTTGTTTGTTTGAGACAGGGTTTCTCTGTGGCTTTGGAGGCTGTCCTGGTACTAGCTCTTGTAGACCAGGCTGGTCTTGAACTCATAGAGATCCCCCTGCCTCTACCTCTGGAGTGCTGGGATTAAAGGTGAGCACCACCAACGCCTGACTCCATTCTGTGCTTCTTATGAATCTGGCCACCTTACTCTGATTAGAAATGTTTCCTCCCTCCCTCCCCACTCTG